GTTAGAATGAGCAGCAACCATCAGAATAACCCTTGAGCCGGCAGAAAATGCATTCGCGTAGCTGCTTGAAAATTGAGAGGCATCGTACACTATTACAATTGTTTTCGTATACCATCAAAAGATTAAGTGGGACGTTTCTATATGGTTTCTTGCAGACTGTTTCCCTTTCCTTAAGCAGCTGCTTTCAGTTACCCCGTATAGATTTCATGACAGTTCGAAAGGCAGCGAGAACGTTTAACATTTTTCGGTAACAATATTTGATACATTTTGTTTTAGAAGCATCCATTTTGTATATATAATTGTTAGTTCTAAGTAAATTATATTTTTATTAATTTTATATTTGAAGTTACTCGCCACCTCTTATACAAACATAAGGAAGGTTCAGTGCTATCTTCGGGCTAACAGCATCGAGTTATTTTGCATCTATCGCTTATCTAAAATTTTAATTGCAATTTCTAAGTTTTTCGAGGGAGAGAGCCGGGAGCCAGACTAGCACTTGTGAGATTTCGACAATTATCAAGTTTTGATGCTCACTTTTATGATGTTGCTACTTTTTTTTTAATACTCCATTTAAGGTTGTTTTAAAGATTTAAATTTCGCGAATAAGTTTTCTTTGCTCTGATCAGGTTAATGGTTTTTCTACGATATTCTAATTAAATGCCGGTGCCAGATTAATGAACCGTTATGTTTTCATCGGTAGATAAATAGAGCAAGAACAAAAACTCTGCAGCATTAAAAAAAAAAAAAATCCCATTGCGTGTACTCTTTGTTCCGTTCAACGTTTCAACATTTGAAGGGAGCCCCTATTCCTGACGTAATGTCTCTACAGCAGCGCATATTCTTGAATACCAGAAAGAAGGGCTTCAAGCAGTGCTAAGATGCTCCGACTTTTCTCTAATCAGGGTAAACTGATAGGCCAATACATTTCTATCTCTTTTGCTTTGAACTTCCAGCCTAATCACGCAATACACAGGTCATAGTCACAGGGAAAAACCGAGAACCAGGTCGCAGGCTGGTGCTATCATAGCGCCCGGAGACCGGAATGTTTGAAATGCTACCCTTTTTTCCTGCTGACAAGGAACGATCGTCTCGAAGGAAGTGTCTGAAACAGAAATCGAGTAGGAAGTCGAGCGTAAATTTCTCCACTTCGAGGTGGCGGCCTCGTCGCCTTTATGTGACCGGGGTACAAACAACATGGACGACGTCTTTCAGCGGAAGCATATGTCTCGTAAATAAACACTGAGGCACCAGCTGAGCGATGTTTATGAAAATATTTGAGTTGTAGACCGCTCTAGCGCTAGAGGTGATTTATAAAGATTCGAATATGACACTATTGAATCTCCACAGCGCAGTGAAGCATCCCGATCAGCCAAGTGGTTTTGAGTTTGAGGAGGTCCCTTGCTCGCTAAATGGGGCTGGCATCGGGACATGCACTGCCACTTCAAACCATGCTTCGAAGTGCCAGCCCAGAGCGATAACGACTCTGCAAAAGACGTTATCTGAAACGCTTGGATGTTATCACATTTCAGTTTACGTCAGCTCAAATGCGAAGGAAACTGTTGAATTATTGAGCCGTTTCAGTTCCGTGTGTAATCTCAGGAAAACGACCTAACCAACTGAACAAATGTTTGACATAAAATCATCGGGTAAAATTGTTGTCGTTTTGTGTGAACGAAGTACTAGACAAATCAGTGGATTAGTTGCAAGATTACAAAACCTGGACAATTATGCGCTCTAGCAACTTACATCCGTTGTTAATTCCTTCGTACACTTTGAAATAGTATACTTACCCTGATAGTAAATAGTATACTGACCGTGATGGAGGAGCATGCCCTCCATCACGGTCAGCAAGAAAGAAAGGCAGTTTTTGCAGTGTGGCACGGCGCCGTGAAAGGGACTAGGAGGGATATGTTTCGGCGGTGGTCTGTGGGTTGGACCAAAATTAATAATCAATAATTTAATGTAATTAATTAGTTTCAATTTTAATTTAATATTATTTAATCAGTATTTTCATTTATTAGTGTACTGTAAGGATTTAGGGTCATTCATTGGCATTACTTTAGGTGTGAATTTGTGGGTCACAGTGATGAAGAAGAAATATAAAGTCTTAGTTGATAGTCAGCGGTGTGTATGTCTCTGTTTCTCCCTGTCTGTGTTTGTCCCTCTTGTTCTAGCTGACCATTTACCTAAATTATGTACCAACTAGCTCAACCTCAGCCTGTTATACTTACAAGGCGTACAACTTAAATATTGATAACAAGTTGAGCACGTGCACCGGTGACGTTATAGGGACACGTATTTACGCATAAAATATTATAATTACCCTATCAAGATGAAAGTGATGGCAATGGCATCTTCATGAACCGCACTATTCACTCTGTATATATGACAAGCGCCGTGTCCTGCATTACGAAGTCAATGGCTACCACACGTGCAAACGAGAGGCCGAATATATTAAAAATACCATATCGAAAAATTTCATTCCACAAATATTATCTCGGAAAAAAAAACATTCCACACTTTCTAAAGTTCCGATCATTCATCGAACTTGTTCTGCTCTTCGTGTTGCTGCAGACTGTTACGCAATATCGATTCTTTTTTCATTTTTTTTTATAATATTCAATCTGAAATGTGAACTCGATCAAAATTGAGTATGTGCTCAAGATACGGGCTAGTGATTTGACAAGGCGAGTTTGTCTCTCATCTCGGGATAATTCAAATTGGAGCGGCTGCAGTAACGACTTTAAGCGTTTTCACGGATCACGATATTCCGGGATTACACTATTCGGGGACATATGATATTCGCCACGAATATATATAGAGACTTCAACAAAACGCCGTATTGCAGCATCCATATATGCACGCCCGTTGCACTAAAGCAAAACGTAAAGTGAAATAAAGACATTACTCACGCTGTAGTGAAATCGCAAGATGAAGTTTGCTTCTTTTATGCTTTAATGTTTGCACGATGTCAAAATATGTGAGAAAACTGCGCTCGTTGCTTTCTTTGCGCACTTGCCAACGCAAAATGGAATCACCAACTTCCTCACCCATCTTTTTTTTTGCGTAAAGCCTTTTGTCACATGATACAATGTTACGAAGAAAATGTGGAAAAGATAGAATCAATTTAATTATTTATATTGGTTAATTTTTTGCGATTTTACTGAAGTACTCGCGATATGAGACACTCGTACTTTTTTGTGTAACTTCCAGATACTTTTGCGTGAAAGTAGCGAAGCAGTGGCATTCTCACGCCCCTCTTTGAACGTCGAGCGTGCGTTGGCCAGGGTAAAAGTTTCGCCGAAAACGGGGATGCAAACGCAAGACCGGAGCAGAAGCGGGTCAAAGACCTGTCGACCGAGAGTGCTGTCGTCCTTCAACTTGACATGTCGCTCAAGCCGGCGGTAATGACAACACAGACCTCGATCTCCCTCGCGAAACCCAGGCGCTTGCTGCGCACTCAATGTCAACGACTCGCGAGACCGCGTGGCTGCAGCGCCTCGCTGGCCACTCGCACTTCGTCGTTCGTGTTGCACCCTCCAACTCGTGACGTGCTAGACGTATGCGACGGACGCCATGTTTAGCTCGCATTGTAACATAACACAAATGTATTTTAAATATAGCTTCAGTCCGCGTGTTCCTTTTTTTTTTTTTTTACGTAATAAAGAAGTTAGGAAGCGACATAAAACACGAAGTGAGGAATTTTACGAGCAGTCTACATAAGCGAGCGCACGTCTAATGATTTGCAGTGAACGCACTCTCAGAAACGCAGCAACTCATTTTCATACTTAACGCACAAAGCTGTCTAGTTGGTGCAAGTATTTGAATTTATGTTGCGGTTGTCTCGAACGCGCTGACGTTCGAGTATGAGAGTGTTGTCACAGGACGAAAATGGCAGGGAGATTTTTCAGTTGACCCGCCTCCAACACAATCTTGTTACCTTCTATAAAACTTCAGCCTCCCGTGAACGTTGAGGGTGCACGCGCTGCCAAAGCACGGTGGAAGGCAGCAATCGCGTGCTGGAGGCCGGGCATTAAATAAAAAAACAAAAGACGCCATGCCGTTCTTATTTTGTCAACGACTAGAGACGAATCCAGGCGTTCGCGCCAGTACCTTTGCGAGCGTTTTACATCATTAACGCTGAGATGTTTCGGTGGCACCGCCTTATCGTTCCTATCCGTGACGTCACTGCAACATTTTCCTTCGCCATGATGTCACGAGTTTTTGATCGTGGCTAGTTTTCATCTCTTGCGAACGACTCGTTCGATGATGAGGGTAAAAACACGTTTGAAGCTCGGAGTCATCGCGCACTGAAACCAACACTGTCGAAATTCAGTCTGAGATTGGTCTTCTTTCTTTTTCCGTCAATGAAAGAAAAATTATTTCCGGCAAAGGCTTCATAGTGAGTGTTCGGTCAACGGTGGAAGGCCGACCACAGTGACGCTTTTGGTCGCGCACGAGGCTAATAGTCGATGACAGGTTAAGAATGTAGCGAAAGCTCCACCTCTAGTGCCAACTTTCTACCTCCGGTAAGACTTGGGCGCACGCGCAACGGAAACACGTCAGGGAGCACCGAATGCGAGCAAGAGGCGGAACTTGTTATCTTTTCTAAGACAATAAGTATAAAACGAAGTATATTTATGTGTTACGTTAGTAGAACAGTCTTAATTTAACTTCAGAGCTTTAATTGTGTGCATCGAACGGTGGCGCTATTATTAATACTGTTCTCCTTTAAGAAGGGCACTTTGAGTTCACGCTTGGCAAACACAATGTCGATACATGTGAGTTTAGCAACAAGAAAAAAATATTAGGTGGTAAAACATTCTGCCTAAATAGTATAACAGTTTTAAGTAAAAGTTGAAAAACACTCGAGCCTGAAACACGTGTGCCTTGTCGAGTGCAAAAGCAAACAGTATAATTGAAGGATTTAGAGAAACACCAACCACGAGAAAATGTCCGTCCATCGCTATTTCTGGAGTAAACATGCTGCGCCTACTCACCGTTGTCGTTATCCAGAATTCGCACAGTGCCCCCGTGGCGAAGCGAAGGGAAATCCACAAAGCGGCGATCCTGGGACTCCGACCACAACCGACGACGACGACGCGGTCCTCACCGACCCAACCATCAACCACACCGTCTTCCACGCTGTGCGCCTCCACACCAAATATCAATGTGCGAACTTCTTAAAAAAAAAAAAAAAGTATTGCAGCCGCGTGTTTAGCGACTCCTCGACGCGGGGCCTCCGTCAAACTTCCTTTCTGTTTGTGTTACCGTCCCGCGCACCAGTGCACCAGAGGCGTTGCGTGGGGTGGGAGAAGAGAGGCAGGGTCCGGCGGTTGCCGGCGTAATTGTCCGGCCGGTCGCGAATCCTCGGGGTTATTGTTGGCGTTCCGTGGGGCGCGCTCTCGGGTGCAAACGAGTCCAGCGAGGGCCGAAACGGCGAGCCGACGAACGGGCACTGGAATGGAGCCGGCGCGGCGACGGGCTGCTCGCCTGCCGACCCGAAATCAGGACAGAGCAACCTACAGCCCAAGGGGCGAGGGAGAGCGCCGTTGCTGCATCCAGTCGACGAACCATCCGGCGCTGGGCCTCTTTTCCCCCCTCCCCCCCTCCGTAACGCTGCCGTCTTTATTTCTTCGCGGGAGCTACGGTCCACTTTGAGATTTCTCTCTCGCTGAGGAAGCGGGGGACCGTGCTCAGCCAGCGGTATCCTTCCACTCTCGCCGACCGGGAGGTGTCGAACCGTACACCCTGGGACCCGTGCCACGTGACCTATTCTTTATTTCTTCGCCGGTATCGAAAGATTTGGGTACGTGGGATCACAGTCGTGCGTGCTGGCTGGCTGCGGGCTTTGAGAGGGACATGCACGATCGAGCTACATCCGATGCCTCGGTTTTTCAGTAAGGCTATGTAACTCCGGATCTCCGCGGCTGGCTCCTATTTTGCGGCGTCTCTTTTTTTACGTGCCTCGGCTTTTCGTTCCTTCTGGTCTCGCGTGGGGCTGACGAGTTGGTCCGTTTTTTTCTTCCTGCCGATTTCCGGTTCTTATAACGGAACAACCTACGATGTCGTTTGCGTGCGATGTCACGCACGGTGGGTATGGATGTGTGTTGGCTCGCGTTTTGTTATATAACTTTTTTTTTGGTTGTTGTCCCGGGAAGTTGCCTATGCCCCGAGAAGCACGGTTCTCGATCGGTTCTTTAATAGAGCGGATACTTGAGCGGTTTCTATTCCAGTGATTTTCAGTTAGAGAAATTATTACCCACATTGCCGTTCTAATTTTTTTTTTTTTTTTTTGCGGATTTTAAAAATGTTTGAACGCCTCTCTATTCGCTGAACAAGCGGATCGGGACAGAGTCTACCGAATAAAGAGGCCTAGAGAACAGGTTGGCGCAGTAGCGCTATATATACGCCGAGACATCGGGCCCCCCCAATGCACGCTATCAGTGTCGCAGTGCAGATGTGCGGATTTCGGTATGAAAACATTTTGTGTATCGTGAGGCAGTAAACTCTCCATAGATTGCAGTCACTGAGTCATCGCGTGCACTGTGAGGAAGAGGACGGGTGGGTGTCTCTTAAAAATTGAAATGGACTTTTTTTTTTTTCTATGACAATTTTTTTTAAGTCTAACAACTTCGTGACTGTGCAATTGAGAAACGCAGTACGTGGTGAGTTTCAAGCATTTTAACGATGATCCGCGGCCCATCAAATGACGGCGTTTGCCCATAAAAACTCTGTAGAGCGAATTACATTTTTTAAGTCGCTAGTTACCTTAACTGCGTGTCATGGGGGTGGGATCTTAGGTGCTCGCCTTAGTCTAAACTTTAAGAATTGAGATCCTGAAGTAATATATATATATATATATATCAGTGTGTCGAACCGAAAAAAATACGGGTTCGGTTACGGTTCAGGTTCAAGTAAATTTATTTTGTTCCGGTTCAGTTCCGGTTCGATAAATTCGATCCGCGAACCGGTTCGGAGCGCTGAACCGGTTCGGAAATTATAAATGACAAATTGCAACATCAAAATAAATTACAAATGAAACATCTGAAATCAGCACATACGAAACGGGATACATTGTAGTGTAAGGCTCAGGGATTTCTACCAGGAATGGTTTCTTTATGTGCACTCAAAGGTTACCTCACCGACGTTTATGCATTCGGACTTCATCTAATTGGGTCCGACGCAGTGGCTGTAAAATCCGCCACCTCCTTACAAACCCACTTACAAGTAGAACCCGCTAACTATCCCACCACCTCGGCGTGTAAGCAATTGAAGGAACAGTGGGGAGAAATTAAAGCTTTCTTTATTTGAACTAGCCTTCGGTACCTCAAATTACACCCTTAAGAAGTTTTCATTAAACAAGATACGGAATATGAAAATCACTTCACCGAACTCAACGCCAGAAGGACGTAGCAGGATAAATATAAAATAGAAGAGTTCGCTGTCTCACAAATAAGTTAGCTTCTAAGTGCCTATATGAAACCGGATGCATTATTATCAAACTCCACAGCCTTTTCTTTTCTCATTCCGATTGAAGCAAGCTTCAAGAACTCGCGCGTTCTAGAAACGTGTTATGAAATGAGCACACAGCAGCATTTAGGATTTACGAGATTGTAGAAAAATGAAATCCCGTGACGCGATTTTTTTTTTGCACAGCCTTCTAATTCTCTTTCTTCCGTGCAAGCCGCGACCAGCGCAATACTGGTTCCTATGTCAAGATTCATGGACGCAGCGTTTGTCAAGATTTATGGATGCAGCATTTATATTCCTAAGACTGAGTGGAGAAGAAAAATATGTAAGCGAGGTGTGTGTCAGTTGACGGCACTTCAAAAACAAATGGCATTGATAGCACATTCATTGTCAACAGCGCGTGGCCGAACCGTTCTGACATGAGCCGGTAACCGTTATTTTTTTTCCGGTTCAGTTCCGGTTCGGGTTCATCGCGATAACAATATAACGGTTCGGGTTCGGGTTCAGTTCCGGAAAAAATACCGGTTCGGTTCCGGTTTTCGGTTCGGTTCGGTTGCGGTTCGACAGCCTGATATATATATGAACGAATATGTGCAGATGAATGAACCGTACTTAATCCAATGAATCAAAGAATCAAAGTTTCCAGGAACACGCCGAAAGCCAAAAACTGGCTCCGCTAATTTTTGGCTTTCGGCGGGTTCCTGGAAACTTTGACTCATTGGATTAAGTACGGTTCATTCATCTGCACATGTTCGTTCATATCCTCTTCGGAGACCACGTACGATGGTGTGAAGTGCCCGTGTTGTATATATATATATATATATATATATATATATATATATATATATATATATATATATATATATAATCGAAAGTATGATGCTGATTCAACCGTGCTCGATCGAATGAATCAATGTCTTACGAAACCTCCGAAAGCGAAAATAAACGGCGGAGCCAGGCGATTTTGGCTTTAGGGTGTTTCGTAAAACATTGATTCATTCGATCAAGTACGGTTCAATCATCATCATACTTTCGATTATTTCCTCTTCAGAGACGGCCGTACGTTGATGAAAAATGCCCGTATTATTTATATATATATATATATATATATATTATAGCGAAAAATATGAAACGATATTTCTGTTTCCCATATATATATATATATATATATATATCGACAGATATGTATGGAACGACATTTCTGCCAAATTTTCAGAGTAAGTATTGTGCGGTGCAAAAACTGCGCCACCCCTAAATGAGGAAATGACGAACTCATAATTGGACAGTGAACTCACTTATCGAGGTAACCTTCACAGTTTGCGGTGAAGGCGGTATATACTCCTTACCCAATTTTTCTAAAGGGCGTCTTTGGATTAAAAACATGCACTCCGATTTCAAAAACGCGAACTTCAGATTTGCTTCTGCGTTGCCGATTCGGATGCAGCGAATAAGTACTTAGCTTTCGTTGCCTTCGTTCACGCACAGATAATGTGACGAAACAAAAACACAGCCTCTTTTCGCGTTTATTCTCGTCCTTGTAAACGCATTAAACATATTCGAACTTCTGTTTGTATTGCGCGTAAAGCATTTTTCTTTGAGTCTCCTACCAGACTCGGCACGAGCTGAATGCTTGCGCGCGTCGAGAAGCGACCTGACAAAAATCAACAACTTCTCCCATCGGGGTAAACATACAGAGAACAAAACAAATGCCGGCGCATCGTCTAGACATTGATTGACAGTCGATGGCATACACACAACGAGCGCACCTTCGTATGCCTCCCGTCCCTTCATCTTGAGTCGCTCGAGCACGTGCTCCTGGCCGACCTGTCGGGCTCGAAATGGGCCTAACTGGTTCCTGGGCCGTGCAGTGCCCGAGGCTTTGATTATACTCCGTTCACTCCTAAGCTGACAGTGCTTGGGGGGGGGGGGGGGGGGGGGGGGGGCTGCACTGAGAGACTAAAAATACAACGCAAAGGCCAACGAGAAACGAGCAGAAGTACACAAACAGAGCGCTGACTGACAATTTATTTTGATTAGAATCATAACAAAAGCGCCGTGACAATCAGGACTTCCTATACACCTATTTCACAGGTGCGCCGCCATCTTGAAATGTCGTCACTTCCAGTCCGCGGGGAAAGATTGTTCTGCAGTCGCCACGCCAATGCATTTAAGATATGAGCGTATACCTGTCACCCATTCTCTTTTGGGCTCCCCTTTATTTTTTACTAATTGCAGGTTGAATTGTTTTATTATTTTATCGTTGCCCTTACCTGAAACGCCTACCAAGTGGCTGGGGACCAGAATGAGCGGAAAGGGTCTAAAGTGAATTGTGTTGTGTGTATGTTTATACAGCCGGAAGTTAGCCAGCACTAATGGGCGTCCGGTGTTTCGGCTGTAGATGAGAAATTTAGCCAGTGCAGTACAACCGCTTGCTGTAGATGAGAACTTTTGCGAGTGCAGTACAACCGCTAGCTGTATGTGAGAAATTTAGCCAGTGCAGCACAACCGCTAGCTGTAGATAAGAAATTTACCCAGTGCAGTGTAACCGCTAGCTATAGATGATAAATTTAGCCAGTGCAGTACAACCGTTTGCTGTAGATGAGCAATTCAGCCAGTGCAATACAACTGCCAGGTGTAGATGAGAAATTTAGCCAGTGCATTATAACCGCTAGATGTACATGAAGAATTTAGGTAGTGTAGTACAACCGCTAGTTGGGAGTCTTTAACGTGCACCAGTCAGCATGCCGTCAGCACAACATCATCAAATATTTTACTATAAAATGTTTCACCCCTAGTCCAGATGCAGCCGACGCTACGAGCGAATGGGACCAATCACACAGCGCCAAGAGCTCACCATCATAGTGTTCGTCATGTTTCCATACATGTTCTTTCATAGTTGAACCAATCATAAGCAGAAAAGGCCTATATAGTCTTTAACAGGTCAAGAATGAAGTGGAAGTTCTACCCACCTCATTCCACTTCAGCGGAGCAAAGGGTGGAGAGGAGGTCGCCTCCTCTCCAGAACTCCCTCTGATAAAGTGGAAAGAGGTGGGAGGAGCATCTTGTTTCGCT